AGCGACAAAATCTCTCATTTCCTGAGAGTATAGTAATTTCTAATTTTACCGTCTCTTAGTGATACAAGAGACAGCACCCTCAATAAGTCGAGTTACGAGAGAAACCAAACACGCAATTTGGCCTAGAACGGCGCGACTTAGAGAGGAATGATAATGAGGACTTGAGATGAAAAGGAGAAGCCCTCGGCGAGGCGATCGGCATGTAACACATATTAGCGCCTACAAGACTGCACGAATACTTCATGCATTGCAACAAACACAGTGCGGTCATTGCGTTCATTGCGGTCAGCGTGAAACGGATAGCGCCTACAAGAATGCATGAATACTTCACGCATTGCGCCAAACACAGTGCGGTCAGCGTGCAACGCTTAGCGCCTACAAGACTGCGTGAAAACTTCACGCATTGCGTCTAACACGGTGCGGTCTGCGCGGCGCGGCGGCGAAAGTTAAAATCATTGAACCACATTTATGTTTGTTCTTTCATAATTTTTTCGTTCATTTTTTATGAATGGAAGGCCTTGTCCACACAGAGATAGGTTTACGGAACTTACATTTCGCGCAAAGTTTCGTGAACTTTTGCTGGTAGTGTTGACAGGGCTTTCCCAAAAAATGTGTTCAGCAAGAGTAAATGCGTCTTATGCACCCCTCCCCCGCTGACACGTTCATTTGATGGTTTTTATCGAGTTTCAAAACGAATGAGAAGGGGGCGGCAAAATACAGGCGGCCCATGGGCGGCAAATAGATGAATCCGGCCATGTATACATCTGCTCGCAAAGGGTCAATTGAGGGACTTGAAGGACAAAGCGAATAGGTGCAGTTTTTCAAAAAATTGAGACATGAAAGTATTCGCGTAAAACTAGTCTTAATGCATATTCCGTGAAAAATTCGCTCCCTAAGTCCAATTTTTAAGATCAAAGAGTCAGTTTAAACTTTACCTCCGTCAAGGAGATCCATGTAATTTCGGAAATTCAAACACGTATTTCTGTAAATAGCAGAAACTGCGCTTATACGCCTTGTCCTCCAAGCTCCTCGATTGGACCGCGTTAAGTTAAGCAGAAAGGAAACAAGCCACATCAGCTATTTCCAAATTTAACTGGGAAATTTAATTTTTACAAGAGAACGTTTGTGTGGATTCTCATGAAAATTGTAAGGAATTTGCTTTGTGTTATGCAGAAAATTAACTGAAATTTTCACAAAAAACCCCACACAACCGTCTCCATGTAAAAAATTAAACTACCCAGTTAACTTTGGCAATAGCTGATGTGGCTTGGTTACTTTCTGCTTAACGCGATCCAATTGTACTTACCGACGTATCGCGGTTAGATGGTTATAACTCATAGGTTAGCGAAAAACGATAGTTTGTTCAAAACTCCTACTTTCTACGTCCAATATTATCTGAGATATCACCCGTAAAAAGCACGGTGTAAGACGTCATCCACCGCGGTAGTCATAGCGGTTTCTCCCACATTAGCTAGTGTCGCACGATCAAATCGAGCCAAATCTTTAAGGTTAAACACTTTTTCTTCAAAAAGGAAGGAGAAATCTATGTTATTGCCAACAAAAAATTTATCAATAAGTGGTAAAAAGAACACCGTAAAATGTCGAAAAAACACCGTTGATAGATGAAATTTCTTTGGCTTATGCTGGTATTTGAAAAATAAATCTTTTACTGGTTTTTCCTCGCTAAGTGAAAATAAAATATAACTGAAAACTGTTTAAAAGTCATGTTTCTGTACCCGTCCCTGGGAGAATCTGACAGTACAGACAAGTAAACTCTGCCATCGGAAGGTTGCTTTCGAAGTGAATCAGAAAACCTCGGGGACTTCGAGTCATCAAGTCCGATTGTTAGAAAGTTGAACGCTTACATTGCTCAAGGGTTGTAAGAGATAACTTCTAAGAAGGGTTCATGTTAGACTTTCCAGGAAAACTTAAATGAATATCCGTATATTATAACAGACTAGCAGGAAACCCGTGCTACGCACAGGAAAACCCCACCATCAGCAATCACTGTGATCAGTGATCAGTTACTAATTGTGTTTCTGAATTATCGTCTACTATTTCAAAATTGGCGAGACACACTGGAGTGATAAAAAAGTAGAAATTAGTAGTATGCTGCTATTTTGGTCTGTTCTTCAGTAAGCTCATATGATAATTGTAATAATCAAAAATACCCAATCAAAAGTTGGTTATTTTCATAAAGATTTGATACTTTTGTCAGTTCAATGTTTAATTGAAGTTAGCTGGTGAGTTTCAGCCGCGAAAATTACGGGATTTAACCAGCGGTTTCGTTTAATTCTCAGCAATGACGGGTTTGTCATCTACATCGCGGAGAAAACTTGATTTTTCCAGGGATTTTGTAAAACAAATTAGAAATTACACGATAATCACCACGGTATCACGGCAAATACGTCGTGTTCCTAGCGAATTTCTAAGATCATTATAATTAATTGCGAGTTATTCACATCAATATCGTGGCATACACGCGAATTTCTGACTCAATTAAGACTACGTAAATGTGCGCATACAACGCATAAACATCTGTTGCTTGGGATGGGCGGAAACGTATGATTTTCCTTCAATTTTGTATGATACCACATACCCACTCCGGAGTTCAAATAGTTTCTCGCTTCATTTCAAGCAGGTGAAGAATGTCGGAGCGATGTTCTGTTTGCTCCGCTGTCGCTGTCAGCACCGCGACTACAGGCGCAGTGTGACCGAGCCGTCAGCACAGTATAGAACGCCTTCAATCTAGCAAGCGGCAATGTGCGCAGAGGAGACCAACGAATTACACCTCTAGAATGGCCGCGAGATAGCAAACCTGCGTAACGCGCATGGGCCGGTTTTTGAAGGCAGGAGGGGGGTGGGAGCCCAAGTATAGCTAACCTCAATCTCCATTTCTGCTGCGTCTTGCCCATAAGGATTACATGTAAAAATTTCAACCTTTGTAAACTTTCATTTTTTTGAGGTTTTCTTTCAAAGTTCCTATTTTTTGAGTAAAGAAAACCTTTTGAGGTGCGATTGAAAAGACTACGTCAGTCTCTTTATTCTATGCCAATGAACAGACAGATTTTCCAGATTTTCACATCTCTGAGAGGGTAGCCCGGCAACGGAGGCACGAGTCGGAGCTCGCAAAAATCATGGCGCGGCGTTTCCAACAGCGCGACGCCGAACTCGTTCCATCCTCCTCGCACTCGTTGGACGCCGAACTCCTTCCATCTTCCTCGCACCCGTTGCGCGCACCATAAGAACACACGTAAAATTTATCAGCTGTCTTCGAGCGCGAGCCGCGGAAATCGCTCCATCTCGCTCGCACTCTCTCTCGCACCCGTTGTCCTTACGGGAAAATCGACCCGCGCGGACCGCGATATCCCGCGAACCGGCGGGCGGATCGCGAAATCCTCCCTTATCCGGCGCCTCGGGGTAGAGAGGGATCCCAGTGCGGAATCTCAGGGTCACACGGCCTCCCGTTCACGAGATCCGCTGATACGTGAGTCAGTGAGTGAGTCAATCAACGTGAAGTCTGCTTTATTAGTATAGATTGAGGTATGAAAATAAACTGTTTCGTAAGGATGTCTCGAACAAGAATAGATTACGTCGAATCAAATCTAATAAAAAACGTAAATTCACTCTGTCTAGAATACCAACCACTGGCAAGGTTATATTGCGGAAGAATCATACGCATGCATGAAAAATCATACTTGAAGACCCTTTGTTCTTATCCTTTTGTTGATTCCTATCTTCTTTGTTAAATCGGATGGCCGGGCAGGGCCGGATTTTCCTACTTGCCGCCCATGGGCCGCCTGTATTTTGCCGCCCCCTTCTCATTCGTTTTGAAACATCAATAAAAACCATCAAGTGAACGTGCCAGAGGGAGAGGGGTGCATAAGACGCGTTTACTCGTGTTGAACACATTTTTTGGGAAAGCCCTGTCAACATCACTAGCGAAAGGTCACAGAACTTAGCGCGAAAGTCAAGTTTCGTAAACCTATCTCTAACGGACAAGGCCTTCCATTCATAAGAAATGAACGAACAAATTATGAAAGAACAAACACAAAATTTGGTTTAATGATTGTAACTTCCACCGCCGCGCCGCGCCGACCGCACCGTGTTTGGCGCAATGCGTGAAGTATTCACGCAGTCTTGTAGGCGCTATGCGTTTCACGCTGACCGCAGTGACCACACTGTGTTTAATACAATGCGTGAAGTATTCATGCAGTCTTGTAGGCGCTAATATGTGTTACATGCCGATTGCCGCGCCGAGGGCTTCTTCTTTTCATCTCAAGTCCTCGTCATCATTTCTCCCTAAGTCGCGCCGTTCCAAGCCAAATCGTGTGTTTGGTTTCTCTCTTAACTCGACTAATTCATGGTGCTGTCTCTTGTATCACTGAAAGACGACAAGATCAGAATTTACTAACTACTAATTTACTCTCCACTATAATCTCAGAGATTTTGTAGCCTTTTCTAGTTTGTAATTTTTTTTTCTAAATCCGATTTTTTTTATACCTACATTTAAAAAATTGCAAAATTTGCCGCCCCCTAGATTTGCCGCCATGGGCCGCGGCCTATGTGGCCACCCCCTTAATGCGGCCCTGTGGCCGGGTCCTCGTGTATCGTAAACGATCCTCGTTTCGATTATGTATCGAAAAAGTGACCCGGCGCACAGTGGATCGGGTTAATTAGAGAGGTCGGACATTAAATTGTTTACTAAAACTGCAAATTTTGATGTTTATTTCGTCACATTGTAAATTTTAGGGAGTGCATTTGGAAGAAAATTTTACTAGGAAACCAATGGAACCAATTTTGGAATCCTAAAGTTTGTATAAACGGAGTTATAAGCGTTTAAGGTTTCCAAATTTTGGCCGACCTCTCCTATCGACTCGATCCACTGTGCGGCGCCGCACAGGAGTCATCGAATTCGGGCCCTGGAAAATGCTTAAAAGTAGTCGCAGCTCTTCCAATCACATTACGACTCTATGTACTCGATGGACAGAATAGCTTACCTTCTTGGCCGTTGGCGAGAGGAATGGAGTCGCCGGTCTCGCGTCGCCAGGTGATGTGCGGGGGCGGCGACCCGGAAGCGGCGCAGGTCATGGTGACGTTGCTCCCCTCGTTGACGGACATGTCAGTGCTCGTCGGGTAGTCCAAGATGTCCGGCGGCACTGCAACCGAGCACACGGCAGAAGCTCACTATCATGACAACAGCTACGTGATCACAACTATGACAAAGGTGACAGGCTCATCAAAGAACTCCCCCGCCCCTGTACTCCTTCGCCATGGTTCGTTGTCAGATCTCACGTCTTATATACCCTAGAGTCCCTTTATACTGAGAGTCAAGACAATGCGAATCCATTTCTGATTGGTTAACCGGATTTTAGGCCTTCACGGTGTCACAAACGGGAATAAAGATTACATTTTCACCAATTGCAAAGATTATAATCTGGAATGGACCGAGGAATTTCGGGTTCGACAAGGAACAAACGGAATGAGAGAAGGAACGGAGAAAGGAATTTATGAATGAGCCGATCAAAGATTACGAAAAACGTTCAATTTGTGTAATCTTTATTCCAGTTTGTGACTCCATGAGAGGTGTTGTCTTGACTCTCAGTATAAAGGGACTCTAATATACCCGAACTGGTAGCTACAGTCGAGATTCTTGATTCCGGGTGCCGAAACACGGTAAAACTTCCAATTATTCGGTAAACTGCACTGGAAAAAAGCCTCTTGGATCCAAAAGATTTTTTTTAGAAAGATGGACAAGGAAAAATACTCTTGATTCAATCGGATCTTCGCTTATTTCAAAAGAAAATCCGTTTAAATTAAGAGGCTTAGCTCTCAATAGGAGCAAAATTCTGATTGAATCAAGAGTATTTTTTCTAGTCAAGTTTTTTTAAGAGACTGGAGATCCAAGAGACCTTGTTTCCCAGTGTATACCGAATTTCCATCACACGGAGAAAAAACTTCGTGCGTGGGACCCGAAATTGAGGTCATATGGATATCTGAACTTTTCGGATCACGTATCTAAAAACTTGAGGTCCAGCTGCCGAAGTTCGGGTCAGACATCTGAAGTACTCCGGTACGTGTTGCTAGCGCGAAACGCGCACTGACGCCTGCAAACCTAAAGGGCTGCCTCACGCATTGCGCAATGCTTGAAGTATCCCTTAGGTTTGTAGGCGTCTTCGCGCATTGCGCAATGCTTGAAGTATCCCCTTAGGTTTGTAGGCGTCAGTGCGCGTTTCGAGCTGGCAGCACGCACCGAAGTGCCTCGATGTCTGGCCTGAACTTCAGCAGCACGACCTCAAGCTTTCGGATGCGTGATCAGAAAACTTCAGAGATCCACATGACCTCAACTTCGGGTCCCATGCACAAAGCTTTTTTCTCCGTGTAGTTTCGCCAAATTTTAGAAGCCAGAATGAAATGTGGATTCCATTTGCCAAGGTTTTTGAGAGCTGAATATTACCGCGATTTTTTTTCAACGTATCTGTGTCAGCAGATGTTGCTACAACTAGACATTTGTTCTCCTCATTTTACTGGAATTCAGTGACCTGATAGATGGCTCTTTTCTTTGGAATAAGGCAAAAATGTAGACGAAAATTTCAAATCCAAGAGTTTCTGTATATAGAGCCAAGATAATTTTTCCATCCCCAAAATTATGGCCATCATAGATTTGAACCAAATGTAACTTAAATACTCTTAAACCAACTCCGAGCAAAAGTATAGCTAAAGTGTATGAGGAGTCTTTGAGAAACAAGGAGAAGGAAATTCAGGGATTCGAAGAGTAAATATCCATTCTTAAGCTGAGTTATGAGCCAATCTATTAATTCATTATGTTCTGGATTGTAGCTAGCTTCTTTTCTGCTCAATTTGGCCGAATTGTGTCCATAGGAGCCGAGTATGTGTACATATAACTTTCAATCAGAAACATTTCAGAGGACATAAAAGAGTCTGCTCGTGAAAACTGATTGGAAGCAATTCGTATTTATTCTTTGAAAGAAAATATTTACCGACTACATTTAAGGGGCTTGGAGGATATGGCGGATAGCGCATAACTGCAGTTTCTGAACAAAAATGAGATATTCATCATAGCTCAACAGAAATTAGTTTGAATGTTTATTCTGCGAAAAATTAACAACTAAAATCCAACTTTAAAGTATCAAAAAGCGAGTTTATACTTCCTTCCCGTCATGAAGTTCCATTCATTTTTGAAAATTTAAACAAGTATTTCTTGAAATGGCAAAATGTGCACTTATGCGCCTTTTTCACCAAGTCTCTTATTATAATTTTAATGTCCTATAAGGAGCTTTTCTTTCAATTCTGCAGAAAACAATGACATTGTCCACAAAATTTATTCATTTTTCATGTTTTTAAAGAATAATTCCTTTTGGCTTGTAGCAATATGAGCTATAAATGCCAAATTTACGAGCTGAAATTGGGAGAGGAAAGTATGTCCACATATAACTGAGACTGCACGACTGGCTGACGAGAAGTCTAGAAAATGCATCAATGAATTCTTTCAAGAATGGGGGATTAGCACCACTATATATAAGGGGGCTTTCAGTGTGAAGGAGGTAAATAACTGGCAGTTACGGCAACCCTGCTCATGATTTCAGCCCTAACTATGCATCGAAAATTGACTGAATACGAAACGGACTCGCTGGTAATCGTGCTTTCCACCACCATCACGGCCCTAACTTCGAGAGTAGCTTGTGAATTCGGGAGTTAACATTACGCAGTTAAAAATTTCCGTGTTGAATGTCACTTTGTGTTACTTTTTTGTGTATCAGATTGAGGAAAGTTTCTCAACACAATTTTGTGTTAAATTGACCCAAACCGTGGGCCACTCTAAAACATCGGATCATGAAGAAAGTGTATACTGCCGAACTTTCTGGACTTATCCTGTTAGAGGTCGTGACTTGCTAGCGCAATGAATTTCCGACAACGTGATCCTCGTTGGATCCAGGAGACTGGCGACTAATTTTCAACGAAGTCGCAGATTTTCAACACAAAGATTTGGTTCATTTGACACAGGAAAAACCAACACTAAAATAAACCAGCTTGTGTTACGTTTTACTTTCTATATTAACACAAGACTTTGATTACTTTTTCTTACTGCAGGGTATAACGTCGTCATCGAGTAACCTAAACAAGTGTATGACACTTTAAGAAATTAAGGTTATCTCTGCACTTCTGATTGGGATCCCATGATTTTTTATTTCGTTACAAAGTACAAATTTAAAACTAACTACTACTTTCTCATTTTCTTACAAAATTTAAAATAAAATTATGAATTAAAAAGGTAAAAAGTATAAGTTTGGCAATGTTACACCGTGAACAATATGTCCTCTTGGAGACGTCAAAAATATCACACGCGTCGATCGGGGGAAAAAATTACTTCTCTCTGACTCGTTGCACTGTGCAGGTAGTTTCTGTCGAACGGAATTGGTTCATTCCACGGAGAAATGTTTCTCCCTTATACCTAACACTGAATGGAAACGGAATCTTTTCCACATATTAAGACTAAAGACATATTGTTCATTAATTCTCTTTGGAAAGGATATCATAAATATAGCATGATTTGAGTGAAAGAATATGGCTGATATTTAATATTGTATGGGACTGCATAGGTGAAGAAGTTAGTCTAAGAAAAGGATGTTTAGTGCCTAAAAGCAAGTACCTATTTAAGGAAACTTTAAATGTCCAAGTTGGCACAGCTACGGTAACTTCAATGACCTATATGAAAATTGTCAGTCCTTGGTGAAGAGAGAGCATTTTCAAGGTACCGAGTTGGTGTGTTTTCGTTCTCACTGATTCATTTGAAACATGTTGAATATGCGGATTGCATTTTGCAAAAAGGAACCACTAGCATTGCAATGATACTAAGATTGTGCAACTTCGTCTTTTGCAATAAAATTGCGGAAATCGTGAAAAACTATGAAATTTAGATGGTAATTTTTGTCTTAAATTCACAGTTTTTAGCGAGTATAAAATAGAAACTATTAGTGGATAATCGGGTTTTTCCTCCAAGACAAAAGAAGTTGCACAATCTTAGCAACATTGCAATGCTAGTAGTTCCTTTTTGCAAAATGTAATCCATGTGTGTTGACAATTTAACTGTTAAATCAGCAATCCATTTTTTTCGTGTGTTTCGCTGAATGTTATCAAATTTAAACGATTTTTTTGACAGGGAGCTAGCATTTAGTAGAGTACCTGTATAGCGAGAGTATGGACAGATCGCTTCATGGAGAGCTTAGGGCCCAAAAAAGCAGCCACCCTTCTAACCAACTTCTGACGCACTAAATTTCACTGCCAGTCTGTGGATTCCAATCCTAACGAAGATGGCTAAGAAAGTACATAAATGAGCGTTCTTCCACAAAAATGAGTGAATTTATGCAAAAACTAAGTCAAATAAGTGCTTTATAAACGATGGTTCGTAACAATTGTATTAATTATTTCGTTCTGGATAATTGAAATTCATAAGTTGGCTGCATTTTTAGGCCCTTACTTTATTCACGGAGGCATCGGTGAAGGCCTGATGGATTTTCGGAGTTTCACATCCGTCTATACTCTCGCTATACAGGTACTCTAGCATTTAGGATTTAAAACTTACCAACTACTTGAAGGTAACCAGTCTGACTCTTCATGGGGTCAGTGTTGATCTGACACATATACCAGCCGCGGTCGGACTCCTTCACATCGCGGATGTGTAGGAACCACGTCCCGTCACGATCTCCGTCGTTGGCGTGCTTCACCTCTACTCGCTTGTTCTTCGTGATCACGTGCAAATGGATCGTCAGTATTGTTTGCGTATCCACTCGCAGCCAAGCGATCTGAAACAATCAAACAAGAAATCTGCAGGCTAAATGGACGGAGTTAAACAGAAAGGGACCAAGCCACATCGGGATCGAACCGAGAAAAAGAGGTTTAAAGTTTGGCTCCTGCATAAGACTCAATGTAAAAGACAAACTTTCAAGTTCAATTTCTGCAAAATTTGTTCCAACAAAAACTTTCAATTTTTGGCTATAGATAGAAGAGCAGTGGTTGAGTTCAAAACCACTCATAACTCAATTTTTTCCAAAATGTGAGTTGATTCCTTTTTGCTTAACTTGGTCTGTACCGACTATTAGACACCATTGTAAAGCTCGCTACCAATAATGACAAATGACTGGAAATAAATCCCAATACTAAGGATATATACCTGCTGAATAATGGGAGTCAAAATATTAGGAGACTCGAAAAAAGAAAACCGTTGGACATTTTAAGTATACACTGTACTATTTAATTACAGAGAGAGAGAGATAAAGGGAAACTTAAACAACTAAAGTGTGGTTAAAGAATAATGTTTTATTAACATTTTAGTCTAAAATATATGTTTGAAATTGTACAGGAAAAATAAATTTTGAAAATAAGCAACTACTATTATATAATTAAGTGTTTATCGATTAACAATGTTAATACGTAGCAGGTCAGGAAAATAAAATGAACACGATCAGGAGAAAATAACCCCAAAACATTTTTATCCATCGAATGGCGGCAATACGGGCTTTTTTGGCCCAAAATTTTAAGTGTTTAAAAATTTAAAAATGGTTTCTCCGCCTGGCAAATTTGGCTTTCAATAACATTTTTCTATAACCCCAAATCAGCATTGAAGTTTCATCGCAAGATAAGGGCAATATTCGGTGTCCAAATTGGGTAAATTAGGTCTCCTCGTGTTTTCCCCCAAACACAGCTATAGAGACAGAGAATTAATCGATGCTTTCGCCGTGAAATAACTGAGTTAGCGCACGGCTCTCTTTTCTTTTGAGCATGCTATTTTCTATGATGCATTCAACACCCACGCAATCTGGAGCGGTGTAAACCTATTGTTGCTTTTAACTAAAGGGTTGGAAAGTAGATGAGCCTTCATTTGAACGCGTATGCAACTCGAACAGCTTTGGAGGAGGAATAATAGCATCCGTGTGTTCTCTCCTCTCTTAGGCTAAATCGGTAGTTTTCTGTCTCTTTGATCCGTCCTATTCTTTATGCTGTTCCTCCTACTTTTATACGGAGCAATATTTGTCCCAAAAGCGGTTCCTAAATCAAGAGGCCAACTACATGTCCTCTTTAAAAGTTACTCTGATTTTGAGCAGCTAAATTTGATTGGACCATTTAGTAGATAGAAGCATGCAAGGAAGGCGCTTTTCCCCTTATGGTGCGTAAAATGAATGAGAGGGAAAGTCGGAAACAAAATTGAGTTGGCAGACTCGTCTCGGGTTACCGTCTAGGTGTTTCAGAAACCTGTTACAATGCATAGGCAGATATTGCTTGCATTGCGCTCATAGCTTCGAAGACAGTGTTGCCAGAGCAAAAAGCTTTTCTCGCTTAAAGAAAAAAAAGTAAAAAAAGAAACCTGGAGGAAGGGGGCGGAAGATCACTGGAGAACAAGTTCGGTAGTATGAACCGGACGTTCGGTGTTTCATATCACACTGAGAAAAAGCTATGGTTTATAAACCTATTAGTGGTAAATATGGAACACCTATAATAGTCGTAAATAAACTAATGATTCTCGGTCTGTGAACCATACTAAGGTCTCTGTACCTAATTAAGGTACAGAGACCATAACTAAGGTATATGTGCTATTATTATATGTAGAGGTACTACTATTAGTGGTGTTCCATATTTACCTCTAATAGGTTTATAAGCCATAGTTTTTTCTCAGTGCATCGCAACTATTCGGTTTGTTAAGCTGAACCTCCGGTTCGTGTAACCGGATATTCGGTTCATATGATCGAACTTGTTCACATTACCAGCGGGGGAGGGGTGCATAAGACGCGTTTACTCGTGTTGAATAGATTTTTTAGGAAAGTTCTGTCAACACTACTAGCAAAAGGTCACGGAACTTTGCGCGAAAGTCAAGTTTCGTAAACCTATCTCTAATGGACAAGGCCTTCCATTCATTAGAAATGAACGAAAAAATTATGAAAGAACAAACACAAAATTTGGTTCAATGATTTTAACTTCCGCCGCCGCGCAGCGCCGACCGCACCGTGTTTAGCGCAATGCGTGAAGTATTCACGCAGTCTTGTAGGCGCTAAGCGTTTTACGCTGACCGTACTGTGTTTGGCGCAATGCGCGAAGTATTTCTTGCATTCTCGTAGGCGCAATCCGTTTCACGCTGACCACAATAACCGCACTGTGTTTGATGCAATGCGTGAAGTATTCGTGCTGTCTTATAGGCGCTAATATGTGTTACATGCCAATTGCCGCGCCGAGGGCTTCTCCTTTTCATCTCAAGTCCTCGTCATCATTTCTCCCTAAGTCGCGCCGTTCCAGGCCAAATTGTGTGTTTGGTTTCTCTCTCAACTCGACTAATTAAAGGTGCTGTCTCTTGTATAACTGAAAGACGACAAAATTAGAAATTACTATACTCTGAGAGATTTTGTAGCCTTTTCTCGTTTGTAATTTTTTTTCTAAATCCGATTTTTTCATACCTACATTTAAAAAAATTGCAAAATTTGCCGCCATGGGCCGCGGCCCATGTGGCCACCCCCTTAATCCGGCCCTGTTTGTTGAGATCACATGAACTTTTCTCTCCGTGCTGAGGGCCGGGCTGAACATTTAATTTAACAAACCGTAGGTTGGGATGATATGGAACACCGAACCTTCGTTCATAAGGCGAAGTTTTTTTTTCCAGTGAATCATCAACAGGACAGTGATTAGCTGGCGACAGTGATTAGCTGGCGGCTGTGAATAAGTGAATTATCCATACTAATTTTAAAGAATGCTCTGGACGACCCGAATGATTCGGAAAAACAACGAGCGAATTTCTCGAAACGCAAACGGTGCACGGTAAAGCGAATGAGTTCTTCGAACAAGTTTCAATACAAGTGAAGCAAATCGGGAACTTTCTCGAAGAATCATCTCACCGTCGCATTACTCCGTTACACTCAGGGCAGGAATTCGGTGACAATTAAACTTAGAAACTGGGACTTTCGAGGGAAAACCTTGCTCTGTTGGTTTCTTTGATGATCATTCTATTTTTAGAGCTAGCCATCCTATAAAAGGTGGAACACTGAATAGTGTGAACAGCATTTCTGTTTCTCAGAACGGAGGTCACTGCATTCGCGGAAGAGGCCGCGGCGCTATAGAAGTGCCGCGGAATCTTGCCGGTGTTGACGAAGCACCGGAGAATCTCTCGCGCTAAGGAAGAACGCCATATGAACATTCGAGAGTTGCCAAATTTCCTTCGATAAAATGTTTATTTTTGCGGAACGTCACGAATGTCTTTCCTCGAAATTTTAAGGGACTTCAGGTGAAATTGCACTGAAAAAAAATTCTCGGCGTTTTTACGAACGTCCGTTGGTACCTTTACCATCTCACTTTTTTTTACCAATAATTGGTAATTTTACCCAGACAGACTGGTAGACTTACCTAAAAACCGGTATTTTTACTGTTTTTTCAGGTAAGAATACCACTTTTATTGGTAATCAATGCCCGGTAACTTTGCCATTTTATCTCGGTAATTCTACCGCAATCGATAAAAAATATTGGCGTTTTTACCAAGGTCCAGTATAATTACCGAGAATGTTCAATAATTTTACCGAGATTTCTCGGTAAAATTACCAATTCTATAAATGGTAATTTTACCAAGAAAAAACTGGGATCAAATAGAACCCTGAATTCTTGGTAATTTTACTCTTTTCTTAGTAAATACACCGACTTTTTTTTTCAGTGCAATTGGTGAAAACGTAATCTTTATTCTAGCTTGTGACACTGTGGAGGCCTAAAATACGGGAACCAATCAGAAATGGATTCACATTGTCTTGACTCTCAGTATAAAGGGATTCTAGTGTTCCCCAATTTTTCTTAGTAAATACACCGAGATTTTTTTTTCAGTGTGAGCACAAAATTATCTGAAAAATTGGAAGGTTCACAAGTTAACCAGAAATTCGTGTTTTATCAAAGGAAATTTGGCAACGCCTGCAGGTTCATACGATGTTTTTCCTGAGCACGGCAGGAAGGGGTTCCTGGAGTCGGGTAGCTTTCGGATGCCGAGGGCGTTGCACGAGTGGCAACGAGGGACGAGACAAAGGTAAAGTGCAGTGGTTGCGCGCAGCTGTTGCTATAATCTAAATCAAATCTGATGGACCGTTGGAACGGCAATAGCCGAACCTCGGACGAGGAACGCGCCCGCCTTCAGCCACGAGGCGCCTCAGGCCGCAATGCCACCGCCGCGCCCGCCTCAAACGCACAAAGCTACCGCGAGCGCCTCACCCGCACCGTATCATCCCTGTTACGGTCGTGTTGCCGCTCTGCTCCGCCCTTTTTCGAGGGTCAGTTTCACTCCAGGCCTCAGCATGCCCGAAAATGGAGAATTTGCACGCAACACTGGAAAGAAAACACATTGGATCTAGAGTCCAGACTCTTAAAAACATGGACAAGAAAAAGTACTCTTGATTCAATCAGAATCTAGCTTAAATCAAGAACCGAGCCTCTTAATTTAAGCGGATTTAGTTTTGATTCAAGCAAAAATCCGATTGAATCAAGAGTATTTTTTCTTGTCAATGTTTTCAAGAGTCTGGACTCTAGATCCAATGTGTGTTTTTTTTTCCAGTAAAGAGCTTGGAACCCGCTCTACTTTGGCCTTAGTCGCCAGACAAACAGCCACCGTATACGGTAAATTCACATCCATACTCCAGACTTTCAAATTTTTAAGGATCGAAGCCGAGTGGAATCTGTTTCAGCGATCCACTTGTCCGCTCCTTGAAAATTTGTCGCCACTACCGGCATTCAAACCTGGTACCTACTGGTCTGGCGTCAAACGCACTGATCACTAGGCCAACCTTGCCGG